ATAGCTGAGAAAGCAGCTTTAGCAGTCATCACTTCGGCCAGAAAGTTGAGGCCGTACTTCCAGTCGCACCCGATCATTATTCTTACAGACCAACCCCTTCGGCAGATTCTGCAAAAGCCTGAGTGTTCTGGAAGATTAATTAAGTGGGCAGTAGAACTGGGGGAGTTTGAGATAACATTTCAGCAGAGATCTACAATCCGGGCTCAGGCACTGGCAGATTTCATTGTAGAGTGCACTCCAGGTAATTCCATTCCTACTCCGGAGCCCAATGACTGGACCTTATATGTTGATGGGGCATCTAGTAGCAAAGGTTCGGAAGCTGGTGCTCTCTTGATTGGCCCAGATGGATACCGAAGTGAACATGCTCTAAAATTTAACTTCGATGCAACAAACAACATGGCTGAGTATGAAGCCCTACTATTGGGTCTGCAGCTAGCCTTCGAATTAAAACTCAGTGCGATCCAAGTATACAGCGACTCTCAACTGGTGGTGATCCAAATTAACTCAATTTGCGAAGTTGTTGATCCTGTGATGGTAAAATATGTAGCTCTGGTGGCCGAGCTGAAGTGCAAATTCCAAAAATTCTGTTTGAGCAAAATTCCCCAAACTGAGAATGAACAGGCAGATTCACTCTCTAAATTCGCCTCTGATAGTTCTTCACATTCCAGATCAGTTTTTGTGGAGGTCTTAGACGAACCAAGCTTCGTGAAGCCATGGGTGATGGAGATCAGCACCAACCCAAGCACACCGAGCTGGATTGACCCAATCCTTTCATTCTTACGAGATGGGGTAGTACCTGAGGACAGGCAGGAGGCAATGAAGTTGAGGAGGAAAGCATCCCGGTATACACTTATTGATGGGGTTCTCTATAAGCGATCTTTCTCTCTACCTCTTCTACGGTGCTTGAATCCCTATGAAGCAGAATATGCACTCAGGGAGGTACATGAAGGTGTCTGCGGAAGTCACGTAGGTGCTCAAACTTTGGCTCATAAAGTCCTTAGACAGGGTTATTACTGGCCAAACATGTACAAGGATGCCACTCACTTTGTTCAGCGATGTTTGAAATGCCAGTTCTTTGCACACCTGACTCACCAGCCTGCAGAAGAGCTCACTACTCTGGTAGCACCATGGCCATTTGCTCAGTGGGGATTGGATCTTCTGGGACCATTCATAAAAGGGGTTGGTGGTGTAACCCACTTGATTTTTGGTGTAGATTATTTCACAAAGTGGGTTGAAGCTCGGCCGTTATCCAGCCTTACTTCCAAGAAGGTTGAAGACTTTGTTTTCAGCTCGATTATTTGTAGATATGGGATCCCGAATCGGATTGTGGCTGATAATGGAACTCAATTTAACTGCACCTCTTTTCGAGATTTCTGTTCCAGCTACGGGATTAAACTGCAGTTCACCTCGGTCTACCATCCGGAGTCCAACGGCATGGTCGAATCTGTTAACAAGTGCATCTTAGAAGGTATAAAGCCGAGGTTGGAACAACACAAGGCCAAATGGGCAGACGAACTCAACAACGTCCTCTGGGCATACAGAACTACGAGTCGAACTGCCACAGGTATTACTCTACACTTGGCCTAGTTGATCAATTCTCTATCATTTTTCTTCTACGGTTTTACCTTAGAGCAAATATGCATAACGTGTAAAGCACATTCTAAAGTTATAATCTACTGAAATAGGTGAAACACCCTATCATCTGGCCTTTGGTACCGAAGCAGTCATCCCTATCGAGATAGGAGTTCCAAGCTTTAGAGTCACCCATTTCGATGAAAGATGAAATGGACAACTGCTTCGGGAGAACCTTGATTTGCTTGATGACGTTAGAGAAGAAGCACGACTTCGAACTCTAGTCTACAAGTAGAAAATAGCAAATTTCTACAACAAACGAGTTCGACCCCGAACATTTAAACTAGGAGACCTTGTCCTCTGGAAAGCTGGTCTGACGGGGTTCGAAACTCGATTCGGCAAGTTGGCACCGAACTGGGGAGGCCCCTACACTGTCGCCGAAGTGCCACACCCAGGTGCTTATATCCTATGGGACACTGAAGGAAAAAGGGTTCTTAGAGTCTGGAACGTCAATAATTTGAAGAAATTTTACCCTTAATGCATCTCTTTATAGTAAACTTTGGCTCATTTTTATATTCATTGTAATTCCATTTGTGTCCGAACTCAATTCCTTCACATCATTAATGCACTTCACTTCACATTCGAAGTGATTCATTCCATTTGTGTTGGGTTATGATTCATTTCTATATTTGAAGTCCGCCTCTTATATATCCAAGGTCAATTCCTTTGCTCGAGGTCAAAACCTTGTATTAAATAAAGTTACTCTATTTTATCCAAAGTCATTCAGCTAAAGTAAACCAGCAATTCGAAACCAAAACTGAAGACCAAAAATAAACCTCAAAAATTTTATAAAATCTCAACAATGTTATTTACAAATATAACTAAAAAATATAAAAACCTAAGCTACTCTATTGGAGGAGGAGGCTGCTCCTCGGCAGGAAAAGGTGGTTGAGGTGGCTCGTCTCCAACAGGCAGGAGTGGCACTTCTCCCTCTGAAGCTGGTCGCACCACCTTTGCAAGCTGGCACGATCTCTAACGCTCTCTGTATACTCCTGCGCTAGAGCGTTTGTCCAGCTCGCACTCTACAATGCAATCAGAAGTCAGACATCAAGCACAAGACAAACAACTCAAACATACAAACGGAGTAAAATCTAATTACTTCACATACCTCCAGGGCGTGCCTCACAATGGTATACCTTGCATGGCTAACCACCTCGTCCTTCGCCCGCATCCTATCCACGTCAGGCAGGGTGGCGTTGAGGAAGTGCTTCGCCCCAGTCTTGTTTGCCTCCTCAAACAAACTTTTCTGGTACACGTGCGGAGGGGTGCGCTCCCTGCCCCCATCAAGGCCTCGCACTTCGACCTCTCCTCTCCCCCCGTTTTCAAGATTGATTTCTGGAGGAGAAGGTTGGGGCACGAACTCCACCACCTCGCCCCCCCTGGTTCCTAGCTCTGCCACCCTCCTCTTCTTCCTCTGCAGAGGCACCATCTCCTCACTCACCTCTTTGCTACCCCCCATTGTAGGCTTCGGCCTTGGTTGCACCTCCATAGCCTGGGCAGCGATGCTGGACAGTTGCCCCCCCACTGTCACCTCCTTCTCAGCCGCAGTTGAAGTCTTTGACTTCTTCCTTGGTTTCTTAGGGATGTGCAAGCCCCCAGCAGCACCGACGAACTCCTCCATCTCAGCTGCAAAGCAAAAACGACGGTCAAAACGCATCAACTAAGATCTAACTAACATAGCACAATGTAAACATACACAGACCTTCGCCCAATGAGCTTGGCCCATAGAGCTCAGCAGCATCTATCGCCTCCTGGCTGGTGAGGTACAGGATATCCACTACGTCCCCATCTTCCCTCACCAGCTTCTTCACCTCTTCCACCTCATCCTCATTCAACTTATAGTTATTCTGCTTGGTTTTCTTCGTTTTCCAAGCAGACAACTGTTCCACTTCGGAATCCCTCCTACTCCACTCGGTGTCATCCACAAAGAAGAAATTTTCTTTCCACCCTTTGATGGATGACGGCCCAGGAGAGAATAAATTCCTATTCTCTTTGCTGGACGACCGAGGACCGAAGTGGTACCATCCCTTCTCTCCCCTACCCCCAGCCTTAATTATAAAAAAATGTTTGAACATATTTACAGTTGGAAACCCAACCCCCCGAACTCTGCAGTATACAAGAAAACCTATTATTACCCTCATGGCATTTGGAGTTAGTTGGGTTATTCCTATACTATAATCTAATAATAACCCAACCAGTAATTCTGGAATGGGAAACCTAAGCCCTGCAATCAAGTAATGCAGGTATATGGGCATCCAATGATCTTGGGGTGCTGAGCATGCCCTCTCATTCACCTCGGTAGGTCTAAGTAGGACATGATGAGGAAGGTTGCAATTACCCACGAGACCCCTTAGACTATCCCTGCTACCCAACTCACTCACAAATCCCCTCACCTCGGCCACTACCTCTAAATCTGGGTCATAACACCCATCTACGCCACTCCCGGCCTCCAAAATATTTGAGGGGATTTCATCCTCCTCCTCTTCTATTACTCCTTGCTCCATTCTATCCCCCACTGTCCTCTCCGAGCTAGTTGGAGACGGACTGGTCTCCGAATCCATGCCACCATACTCCAAGGGCATTACCTCACTTCCCACTACACTCATAGCCTCGTCTGAAGACATCTCAATTTCTGCATACAGGGGGAGGAGGAACGAGGTCAGGATCCTTAACAATTTGAGTACACTCAATACATTCTCACTCTCAACCCTAATTTCCCTCCAAAAAACCCAAAATCAACCATAGAAAGGGAGAAAGGAGAACAACGTCTCAACAAAACCAAAACAAAAAATTCATAAACTTTACCTAATTTTTGGTCTTGGAAACTGTTGTTGAAGTCTGGATTAAAGCGCAAACCGCACGAAACC